CAGAAGTTCCACGTCGCAGTTTTAAAAGTGTATCTCTTTACCAAGTATTGAGTATACAGATAGAGGACCATCGCTTAAAATATGCAATTTCTGAATTGTGAGTGAGGATACAATTAGATCTAGTATCGTTTGAAGATGAGCTCATATTGCACAAGCATCATGATGCAAATTCTCAGAAAATGTGCAAAATGAACAACTATTCATGTTTTGCGTATCTGGTCATCTGTAGTAATAAACACCAGTATGAAGACTGACTTGCTGTTTGGATGCACCAAAATAGACTCACTGGATCTCATTCGCATATTTACAGCAATTATTTTCAGAAAAAATGATTTGCATTTTTAAAAAGATAATGATCCAAGTTAAAGTTCATATCCCTGGACCTGTGGTCACTTCCATGGAGAAAAAAATATCCACGTAATCCATGGGAGTGACATCCATGGAAAGGACATTTTGAGGGTTAATAATGGAAAAGTAGCCAAAAAAAGCTCATCTTTGCAAACTATTTCGACAATCGTAATTTAACCATCAAACCTACAAAACAGCAAAACATAATGTAAATTAAAGAATAATACTTATTTGGCAAACCAGCCACAGTAGTGACCACGTATGCTTGAAGAGTTTTAAGTAAGTAATTTAATTGTTTTTTTACGACAAACGTATTGCAACCGGTAAGACATTGACATCTCACTATGGTTATGACAGGTGACAGCTTGTCAATGCTCACATAAACTCGGTTACACGCACGTTATTTTCTAAGTAAAAAGTTATCGTGACCTTCGTCCAAGGAAGTGACTAAAATCCGAGTCACAGATTATAATTAGGTTTATTGTTCTTTTTTTTATCAATTAGATATTAAGTTTTAAGCTCATACTGGTTAGTATATAATAGAATTTAGGATAATATCCATGAAGTGTAGAAATTTCATGCCAAAAGCTGGGAAAAAAATATTATATCTGTAAATTTGCTTCCATGGAAAAGACATTTCAAGGTTATTTTCTTATATTTAAAATAACGTGTTAATTAAAATGAATATATTTTTATATAGTCTTCACCAGATGTGGTTGCACTACCTTGATAAATATAATAAACCCACGTGCCATAAGTTATTAGAGAAAAAAATCTTGGTCACAGATACTTTTATTGAAAATGAGAAATACCCTTATATTTATATAGGTATATGATTTTGGTTGCATAAGCCATTTCTTTTATAGTTTAACCATTAAATTTTACATTAAAATAGAGCTTCTTTGCTATATTGCACTAGGCCTGGGTGTCGGTGACAATTCTGTTTATCTAAAAGCTGGGTCTCCAACAATTTTTTTTTTTAAAACATTGAACAAAAACACATACACAAAACATTGTTTATGAAACATGTTTCTCTACACACGGCGTCTACTGCTCACGTGGCTGTCGTACACAAAATACACAGGGCTGCGTTCTAAAAGCGCCTACTGACATGCCTGCCGCAGGGACAATCTAGGGTAGGGCGGCCCTGACAGCCGTATCCAATTCTTTCTAGCCTTTCTTAAACTGCAAGGCAGCGCCATCTCTTCTCATTATAAGTAACCCACAATGTCAAATTAATACCTTTACAAGTATTAAACATTTAAAAGAAGAAATAGCAATTAAAGTTATAATTTTAATTTTTTAAGCATTTAACTGCTCAATGTTTGAATCTAAAGAAAATATTACAAGAAAATTTTTAAAAAAGAAACCGTTTCTATTTTTCTAGTAATGCTTTCTGTATATTAAAACATCGAGCAGTTACATACTTAAAAATAAAAAATATTATATATATTTTTTTTATCCCACATGTGGGCCAGTGTTTATATACTTCAATCACTTGTGTCCAAACTTCATGCTCATTATGATCTGCCGCCATCTTGATCGAAATACGTACGCTGCGTGTGACAGCTACAAAACGACTGATTGAGAAATTGCCCCAATCGCGCTACACACGCGGCAACGTCTAATGAGCGCGACCACCCGCGCGCTCTTGCCGCCCTGCCGCAGGCCCGATTTAGAAAATTGCCCCAACTTGCCTACACATATCACAATTCAGGAGGCAATTAAGGATCATCCCCCACTCTTACACCCTAGATTATCCCTGCGGCAGGTATGTCAGTAGGTCAGAGGGGGATGCAAATGTGGAGGATACCCGCAATAACCTAAATGAATTGCAGATACCACTTTAATTTCTTGCAGTGCAATTTAAATCACTGCGCCCGGGCACAAGATTTAGTCTTGCAGTCTGCGGTGGAGTGGTGTATAGATGCGGTAGTAGCGGCGGAACCGTACTCGGTGCCACCAGGCAGCAAATGGGCAGGAGATTTGGATGGATCGGTCGCTATAATGGCAACACTAAACGATGCGTACTCACCTCCCCTTAATGTAATCGAAAGGGGATCAGGTTACGTGGTGGTGACCATGGGAGAATTGACCATAGTGGGGGTGTACTTCTCCCCCAACAGGGGTGTAGATGCATTACAAGCATGGCTCGATCGGCTGGGAGGGGCAGTCAGGCGTCTGGCTCCACGTCAGGTGGTAGTGCTTGGGGACTTCAACGCAAAGCATCCAGCGTGGGGGTCCCCACGTACGACGCCAAGGGGAGGAGCGGTTTGGGAATGGTCAGTGACATCGGAATTGACGCTGCTAAACAGAGGCACACATCACACATGTGTCAGGATGAACGGAGGCTCAATTGTGGATCTGACATTCGCCTCTCCTGCGGTAGCGGCACGCATCCAGGGATGGAGAGTTCTACCAGAGACAGAGACCCTATCGGATCATCTATATATTCGTTTTAGGGTCTCTCCTGCTCCAGATCTAGAACTGCGACAGAGCAACAACATCGGGGAACACTTCCGAAGATGGGCTATCTCCAGGTTTGACATGGAGGCGGCAGAGGAGACGGCACTAACAGAAGCATGGGTTGGCCTGTCCGCCAATGGAAAGCATTGACGCAAGAACCGAACGCCTCGCGATAGCTTTGAGGGCGGTCTGTGACGCCTCCATGCCACGAGTAAAGGACAGACCACACAAACAGGGTGTGTACTGGTGGTCACAAGAGATAGATGTGCTACGTCGGGCCAGCATGAGAGCCAGGAAAAATCTCCATAGATACTGCCGCAGAAGGAGAAGAAATGAAGAGGAACAGCAGCGTCTCAGAGAGGCCTACAAGGAGGCAAAGAACAGACTTAAGACGGAGATCTGCAGGGCAAAAACAGCGGCCTGGGAGGAGTTCCTGGAGGAGCTGGATTCGAATCCGTGGAGGCGCCCATACAGAATGATACGCAATAAAATGCGACACGAGGCGCCTCCAATCAACACGATGGATCCTATAATCCTGGAGAGAGTCGTGGCACATCTATTCCCGGAAGCACCACCAATGGTACCACCTCTAACAGCACCAGGGCACCCTGTCAATGAGAGAGAGGAAGAGGGGATACCACGGATAACGGAGGATGAGTTAGAGGATGCCCTTGAAAAATTGAGGCGAAAGAAAAAGGCGCCCGGACCTGATGGGGTCCCAGGGCGTGCACTATGTGCTGCCCTAAAACATCTGGGGGGAGAATATAGGGAGCTTTTAAACGAGTGCCTGACAGTCGCCCTCACTTCCATGCCGTTGGGAACTCTCCCAACGGCATGGAAGTGAGGGCGACTGTGTCTCCTCAGGAAAGAGGGAAGGCCTGTTGATTCTCCGTCGGCTTATAGACCCGTCGTGTTACTGGACGAAGCGGGAAAGACATTCGAGAGGATACTCGCAGACCGCATCGTCCAGCACCTGGAAACGATGGGCCCTGACCTGGCGGAGAACCAATACGGCTTTTGGAGGGGCAGATCCACCGTGGATGCCATATTGGCACTTCGTAGATTAACGGAGGCGGCAGTAAGCAGCGGCGAACAAGTAGTGGCTATATCCCTAGATATAGCCAATGCTTTTAATTCACTGCCCTTTAGTTGCGTTAGGGACGCTCTCCGTTACCATAGGGTTCCGGGATACCTACAAAGGGTGATTGAGAGGTATTTGGAAGGCCGAAAAGTAGCATACGTAAACAGAAGGGGGGAACTGATTGAGAGGGAAATGGTGTGCGGGGTTCCACAGGGGTCGGTCCTTGGACCGCTCCTGTGGAATCTCGGATACGACTGGGTGCTAAGGGGGGTTCTGCTTGCCGGGTTAAATGTTATATGTTATGCAGATGACACTTTGATCACGGCAAGGGGAAAATCTCTTCAAGAGGCCAGGCGCTTGGCCAGGGTGGGTGCACATCTGGTGATAGGGCGTATCAGACATATAGGAGTAAGGGTCGCGGTAAACAAAACCGAGGTGATTCTGTTTCATGGTCGGGGGAGAAAGCCGCCCGAAGGGACGTTTGTTGTGGTGGACGAGTTGAGGGTCCCACTAGAAAAACAAATGAAATACCTAGGGTTGATATTGGATGGCAAATGGACGTTCCAGGAACACTTTCCGCAGCTTGCGCCCAGATTGGTCAACACGGCGGTGGCACTAAATAAGCTAATGCGAAATATAGGTGGTCCCAATAATGCTTGCCGAAGGCTATATATGGGAGTGATAAGATGTATGGGCACCCGTCTGGGCGGTGGGTTTAAATAGGGAGTGTAGAGGTCTTCTCCATAAACCCCAGAGGGTGATAACGATAAGAGCCATACCATACGAGAGTACAGGACCATCTCATGGGCGGCGGCATGTGCGATCGCTGGCACGCCACCGTGGCACCTGGACGCCCTAGTGCTTGCTGAGGTGCACCGAGGCAAGGTGGAGGCAAGGGAGCGCGGGGAAAGACCAGCGCCTGAGGAGCTTGCGCTGATACGGCGCGAGGCAAATGAGCGCCTGCTGCAGATGTGGCTGCAGCAGATCGAGACGTCTACGTCTGGGGTTAAGACGCTACAAGCACTACAACCAGTGCTTGAGCATTGGATGGATTAAGGTTGGGGGTCGCTGACCTTTCGGCTGGTGCAGGTACTTTCAGGACACGGGTGTTTCGGGAAGTATCTGCATCGGATCCAGAGAGAGGCGACCGAGTCGTGCCATGAGTGCGAGGCTGCTGTGGACACTGCTGCGCATACCCTAGAGGAATGTCCAGCGTGGTCGGAGCAGCGTCGTACTCTGGTGGCGACGGTGGGGGGGATCTCTCCCTGCCCAGCATAGTAAGAGCTATGCTGGGCAGTGACAGGTCTTGGGGCGCGGTGGTCTCCTTTTGCGAGGTGGTTATCTCGCAGAAGGAGGCCGCTGAGAGGGTTCGTGAGGAACATGACCCTTTTCGCCGCCGGGGGGTGCGGGCTAGGAGAAGGCATAACAACCGGCTCTTAGTCAACACCGACGGAGGCCAGCGGGGCCCGGACTTGGGAGGTCCGAGCTCTGCATTGCACAGGCCTCTGTATGTAGGTGGGTCCGTTCGACTCGGACACTCACTGGTGGGGCTGTGGATGTATCCGAAAGGGTTCCCATGGCCTCACACAGTGCCGCTGCCTCTCGGGGGGGTACCGCCTGATGGTGGATCCCGTACCCGGGGAGGCCCCGGCCCATCGGTGAGGTGAGGGGCATCGTCAGGTTTTTAGTGGGTAGGGCCCCCTTTCTCTCGGGCAGCCGTTGAGCCAGCCCTCGGACTGTGGCTTAACGGGTGGACGAGACAAGGAGGGGAGGAGTCCCACATAACCAAACCGCACTCCCAGAGCGGTGAGGTATGCGTAACGCATTTTCCTGATGTTAACAAAAAAAAAAAAAAAGGTATGTCAGTAGGCGCTTTAAACCTACGATCCAGGTGCAACAAATGTCAAATTCGACAAAAGTTTTTAAATGTTACTCAAAACCTGATGAGTCATTTGATCGATTTCGAACTGTTTTTATGGATGAAAGACCTTCAAAAGCAACCATCTACCGCTGGTGTACCTAGCGAGTTCAAACGCGGTCGTCCTATGACGGCTGTCACCGAAGAAAGTGTGCTGGCAGTAAAAAAAAATTAAAAAAAAATTCAAGAAGACAGACGAATTACTTACAAAGAGATTCAGCATACTCTGCAAATTGATTCAGGAAGTGTTCACATGATTTTGCACAAGCACCTTTGCGTAAGGAGGATAGTTTCCCGCTGGGTGCCGCACAACCTCACCGAAGCTCAAAAGCAGGCTCGTGTGGATTGATGCAGTGATATGATACAAAAATTTGATGCAGGCTCGCCACGGCGCGTTTACGATATTGTGACAGGTGAGAAACCTGGATTTATCAATACGATCCAGAAACAAAGCGTCAGACGATAGTTTGGCTGTTTCAAAATGAACCAACGCTTTTGTAGGCGTTGAAGCGTGTGAAGCTTCACGTGAAGCCATCGAGGAGCGCAGGAAAATTTTTGATCGCTAGTTTCTTCTCTTTTTCCACTTGGAGACCAAAGCAGCATCAACGCACAAAATGCCTGCCAGAAGTTTTTTCTGCAATGAGCAACAAGCGACCTAACACCGGGCTCCGCGGGGTCCTTCTTCACCACGACAACGCGCCCTCTGCACTCTGCGATCAAAACGAAGTACTTCCTGGACTCCACATCGGTCAGAGTCTTGGGACTCCTTACAGCCCTGTTTGGCACCGTGTGACTTCTTTTTATTCCCTGAAAGAAAAAATCAGCTCAAAGGGATACAGTTTCCATCGCCGGAAGAAGCGTTTGAGAAGGCCGTGGAAGAGGTGTCTGCGGAGGACTGGAAAAAATGATTTGAAAATTGGTTCAGACGCATGAAACTTTGTATAGAGGCTGGTGGGAGAGTTCTTTGAAAAGATTTAATACAAATATTTTTGTCATAGAACTTAGTTTTTTAGCTTCTCAAAACTTTCTGAGTGTCCCACGTATTTCAAATCAAAACTACTCAAACACCATCGACACACCATTATTACTTCCTTCTCCTTCTTGTGTTGTGCACCTCATTGCTGAGGGTCGTCACTTCCACGAATTATTTTGTGGACGATCGCTTTCCACTTGTTGCGGTCTTCGGCAGTGTGGAGTGCATCGCGGACTCCAGTTATTGTCGCGGATCTGGTCTGTCCAGCGCATGGGGCTTCTTCCTCTCGGTCGCCTTCCCCGTACTTTTCCTGTCACCAGGAGCACTTCCAAGGTATCGTTTTTCTTCCTTGCTATGTGATCGAAGAATTCGAGGATCCTAAGCAAACAGAATGTGGACAGCCTAACGGTGACTCCCACTTCTTTAAGAATTGACGCATTTGTGCGGTGGGCTATCCACGGAACTCGTATCATTGTCATTATGTCCATTATTACTTAACTTAATAGAATCGACACATTGCGTGGCTGTTCCATCATCCATCCATGGGGTAGTCCTGTGCCCCAGTAGTAGGGGCATTAATTATAGGCTGACGGTGCTGATAAAAAATCAATGTTAATGTATAAATTTACATACATTTTTTATACTGATAACGCTGAATTACAAAGTAAATATTTTATCTAATCTAATTTTTCAACAGATTTTATTTTTATGAATCTTAAATCTATCCTGATAAAGCTCAAAATTTGTTAGTTAGTTAAAAGAAATTTGTCAGTTTTCGATAATTTGGCCTATCGCTATATTATTATGTACTAACCAAGTACCTACGTCCAGCGGAGAGTACTGGCGGTCCAGTCCAGTATTAATGATATCTTAATTATCAAATAATTTTAGTACCTACATTGATAAAAGCGATAAGACGATTAATTTCGGTATAGTTTCAGTAAGTACGACTTCCCGTCAAGTAAAATGAAGCTCTCACTGTTATTCATTGGAATTTTCATCGCGCATTGTAAAGGTAAGTAAGTATGAAAAAACATATGAATATCAATAATTGAGTAAAATTGCAACTTTATAAGTTTTATGACGTAGTTATATTTTTTTTTATATTATTTTTCTTTAAACATTAAGTTCTTTTTTCCTTAATGGCTTCGCACGGCTTATGCATTTAGCCAATGTCAAGTGTTAAAAATGTTTACAAATTCTATAGCACTCGTGGTTAAAGTATTATATCAAGTCAAAGCAAGTGGCAGTCAAGTCATCCCCTTTCCCTGTATTTCAGTAAATGTGTGGGGATTTACTGGAACCTCCCCGTGGACTTCTTGAGGGAACGTCGAAAGACACTTTCCGCTATTTTGTTTCACTTGTCAACACTTGTGCATGTTCCCAAACACTTACTGGTTAATAATCCACCATTATTAGACACTAACATCCGCCACAACACAATTTTTAACAAGAAAAACAAAACTGCTAAAGTGACGCTTTCCGCTCCCGCCAAAAAGTCCGAACATTAAGTTACATGCTTAAAAAAATAAAAATTATAACTATAATTGCTATTTCTTCTTTCAAATGTTTTTTTTCTAAAAGGCTTCGCACGGCTTGTGCATTTAGCCAATGTCAAGTGTTAAAATGTTTACAAATGCTATAGCACTCGTGGTCAAAGTAATAAATCAAGTCAAAGTAAGTGGCAGTCAAGTCAACTCCCCTTTCCCTATGTTTCAGTAAAAGTGTGAGGATTTACTGGAACCTCCCCGTGGACTTCTTGAGGGAACGTCAAAATACACTTACCGCTATTTTGTTTCACTTGCCAACACTTGTACATGTTCCCGAACACTTAGTGGTTAATAATCCACCATTATTAGACACTAACATCCGCCACAACACAATTTTATTAGGAAAAACAAAACTGCTAAAGTGACGCTTGCCGATCCCGCCAAAAAGTCCCTTTCAAATGTTTAATACTTGTAAAAGTATTCATTTGACATTGTGGTCAGTGCATTCGCCCGGATAGCGAAGGGTGCGGATTCGAGTCCGGTCCGTCTGCTGCCTGGTCCGCGTGGATATTTTTCTAGTTATATTTTCTTTAGATTTCATGACTTAATTAGTTGAGAGCTTTCACACACCTGTATGGTACTAAATATTTAAGATCGAATACCACAGTTAAGTTAATACACAAAAACACTTAACTTCTTACAAGCATCAAATCGAGAAAACTCATTTAATGAAACAGAGACGAGAAATTATAAAAGTATAAAAAACACATTGAAAACCACTTGAAAAAGTGATTTATTTTAATGAGGTGTTTGCGTGAAGACATAAGCAATAATTATCATGCAAACTCTTTCGATTTCAGGAGAAGTCAGGATAGCCGGTGGAGAGGTGACCACCATCAACCAGTACCCGTTTGCGGCCGCCCTGCTCACTAATGTAGACGGTGCCGCATTCATACAAAGATGTGGCGGCAGTATACTGTCCAGATCGGCAATACTTTCCGTTGCATCGTGCTTCTACACTGGTGACCAGTGAGTGTTCAATACAGTTAGACAAACAACATTTGTAATGCCATGCTAAGTCATATGTTGTATAAAACTAGTTTTTACGGGTTAATGCACGAATCTTTATTTATTTATTGACGTTTCGTAGCCTTTACAGGCTACGTCGTCAGAATCGACAGATCAGAATTTCTGACGACGTAGCCTGTAAAGGCTACGAAACGTCAATAAATAAATAAAGATTCGTGCATTAACCCGTAAAAACTAATTTTATTTAATGAGTGATGTGCGTGAAAACCTAAGAAACAAATATTATAGGTATGTTGTAATTTTAAGCACAATTTGTCGCCATAGAACATAGAAGTGCATGTCAAATAGTGATTATTGTAAAAGGCAAAGGAATCATTTTTTCAATGCGTTCTACCTTGTTCTTCGCGAATCTTAGAAAACACTACCTAGCCTAGTTCCTAAGATTAACGCGTTGAACCTACCAAACAAACAAAGGCTAAACTGTACTTCCAGAGCGTGCTGCGGCAGCGGCCGGCGAAGCGCCAGAAAAAGATTCATACAAACTCTTCAAGTTTATAATATTGGTATAGACAAATGTGTGCGATGATAACTGCTACGCTCAGGCCACTTGCCACTTATTGACTGCAAGCAGTATATCTCTAGAACTGCCAACATCTGCAAGCGAGCAGTCATTCAGTGCACCGCATTCAAACTTCAACTATGCAGCTGGTTATTGATTTAACTATAGTGCTTTATATATTTACCCAGGACGGACTAATCTTGGAGGATATTAATTTCTTTCGCTAGAAACTAGAACTAAAAGCTACAAATTTACATCAGCAGTGCTATTCTCTAAAGATTCACAAAGTATTCACGCGCGGATCCGTATGCGACCCGCGCATGAACGCAAATAATAGCACTGCTGAACTCCTGTTATACAAAGTTTACTGAAGAGAAATATACTTTTCAATGCATTTGCGGAAAGTTTTCTTTTTTATGTAGACACATTATGCGGAAAGTGACTCTTATCAGCACGTATGCGAAAATAGTATATTTTCATTAAGAGTGCGGAAAGCCTGTCATGCAGAGTTTCGACAAATGTCTACCCGAGCCGAGGCGGAGCGAAGGTGAGGGTTGACAGTCTTAACAAGTTGCATTGACGGTTTCGCACGTGTACTGAACAACTATTTTTAATACACTTGCGAAAAAATGAAGCAATTTAATAAAATAATAAAAACACAATAAACCCAACCAACTAATCATTTATTTCTTATAAAGTTATAATTCACATATACATTGAAATTGGTACAGTTTTTTATACTAACTGGGGAAGTTTTAGGTTGCATATATTTATAATGCAATTCAACTAAGAATAGGACCGACTGCGCACCATATTTTGACGCCATTGCGGTCAATTCAAACCAAATAGGTAGAGTGAGCAAAAAAATGTTGCTATTTAATAAAACTTATTTACTAAGATTAAGTGAGACAAAACATCAGATTTTATAATAAAATAAATTTACGAAGGTTGAGAAAGAACACAACCGATTTTTAATAGTATTTCTTTATTAAGACTGTGTGAAAAAAAACATTAATCAGAATCCAGCTCTTCAATTTCGCTCGTCTCTCCATTAGCGCCGGAGAAGTTATGAATAATCATGCTGGTCACATACGAACACGCCTCCTATATGTTAAAGAAAGTTTTAAATCGAGTTTTTGAACGCAACATAGAGTGACATTTGGTTGACGATTTAGGTTTCATAGCCAAAATTCAATAAATGAAATATTTGCATGAATCATAAAAACTTCTATGATTTTTTTGAAGTGAAAACTTCTTTAGCGGTGTTGTATACCTTTATTTTATATGGGTAAAAAATGTTAAACTCGCGTCATGACACGTGGGCTAATCGCATCACAGGCCACGTGTCCTAATCGTAAGACGAAAACAATAAAATTGGAAAGGTTGTTGACTTTCAATATATTGGACGAATCATAGTTATACTTTATTTTATCGTATTATAATATTAAGTCTGTATCTAGGACGTCCAGGTGGCACCTTTATTGCGAAGAAAATGCATTTTTTTTACAATAGATGTCGCCAGGTGCGCTTAAATGTGATTCAAGTAAGTTTATTTTTCTGAGAGATAAACTTTTTAATGTAATATAAATTGTCATGTTTGTGTTCGATAGCGCAATAAATAAATATTGTTTTCTACCACATAAATGATAGTACATTTATACTGATAATTAAAGCAATTCGTGCAAAATTATTCCCCTTACCATTCCAAAATATTAAAAATGCACAACGGATCAGTGACAGAAGTGAAAACTTGAATATTAAATTCAAGTTTTCACTTCTGCCACCGAACCGATGTCACCGGCTTGCCCTCACTACACTTCCACCTAATAGATAATAACCAATCAAACGACGCGACATCAAACAATCGAACCAATCAGCGCACACACAATCAGAACCAAGTTTTGGTCAAGTTATGAGCATTTGACAGTTAGGAAAGAGAACGTACGAGTTCGGAAAAGGTAAAGAAAAAGCTGGAGTATGTAATAGCCCAGCCCACATCCCGAACGCTATACGTCCCTGAAATACGCCACGTTTTAGCAAATGTTTTAAAATTCAAAAAGTACTTTTTAAAATTTTTAAGCCTTGCGCTACGTCCTAGCGCCAGGTTTTCTATTTGCAGGATAGCTCGAAATTTAAATAAAACCATTCACATATGAACGGTTTTATTTTAATTTATTAAAATGGTTACATATTACTTCCCATGGGTTGTAGTAAAAGATAATTCCATTTTTAAATTTACGACAGATACTGTGATAGATATGAGGTTAGTCTGTAATTTAAATAACTGAGATTTAATTGTATTTTTAGTTTATTTCCTCGCAAAACACAATGAAAAATGTTATATGTGTTTTTTCGTATTCGTAATTAATAATACGAAAAAAACGAAAACCACTGAAAACACGAGCGCAGCAAGCCACTACGTGGTGCTGATTCGTAATAACCTACTTTCCGAACGTGTATCATAAATAACTACAGCAACTCATTAAAAGATCCCAAAGCATAATACATTTCATGGAAAAATTAAAAAGAACCTAGCTTTTAAAGTGATCAGCCAACCTGTATGTAGGTATAACAGTTGATTTTCTAGACTTTCTATATAAATAAAGTGACTTATCTGCTTGGCATGTGTTGGAAGTCACTTGCAAAAACTGTTTAGCTCAGGAATACCCCACTTTAATTTCAGAGTTCATCAGGCGAGAAATTGGCGTGCCCGAGTCGGTTCTTCTTACAGCGCTTCCGGTGGCACCATATACTTCATCCGCCAAATAAACATCTACTCTACCTTCGAGCCGACCAGTACGAGATACGATGTGGCCGTTTTGAGGACTACTTTCGACATGGTTTTCCAACCAGGCGTAGTCGAAGCGGCTTTCATTGCCGGCAGATCTTATAGCTTTAGCCCAAATCAAGAAGTTAGGGCTATAGGCTGGGGTGAGGGCTCAGTAAGTATAAGTTAATATTTTTTTTAACTCGCTATAATTATTCTATTCTATTCGCAATCCCAAGTATTACTACCCAATCTGTATAAGAGAGGTATGGCATAGCGGATTTTCCGTTCAAATTAGAGCGCCCGTCTGGGGAGTAACGTTCACCTTACAGAAGATCAAAGTAAAATATTACTACATTTTGGTGGTATTGTGTCGGTAAGGGTCCAAGGCTCCACGGGGTAGGGTAGGGGGTTGGATCAGGGTAGACAAAGGTGTGAGTGTTATTTTTGGTATCGCAAGCTTCTATAGGCTATGGTGGTCGCTTACTATCAGGCAGGCCATGCGCGTGCTTGACACCCTTTTAAAATAAAAAAATCCCATAAGGGCCGTCCATTAATCACGTGATGTTTTTTTTGGCATTTTTAACCCCACCCTCCCCCTTGGTGATACGTGGTGAGGTTTAAGACTATCGCCTCCCCCTTGTGATATTTCGAGATTTTTTATGCAATACCCTCACCCCCCCCCCCCCTTTCGAGCCGGCCCTTTCGAGCCTCACGTGATTAATGGACAGCCCCTAACAAGCCTTACAGTGCTTACTTTGAGGTTAGGCGGACTAGTTAAATTGTTGTGATTTTAAGAAATATTTGTTTATTGATCTAGAATACAGAGGAGCCTACGACGCAGTTGCGGCACGTCGACATATGGGTGGTAGACCAGCAATTGTGTGCCTCGCGGTATAACAACGATCCGAACATTGACGAGAACGTCGTATGCGCAGGATGGATCGACGTCGGCGTTAAGGGACAGTGTCCTGTGAGTACTTACATCATCATCATCAGCTTATTAATATCCCCACTGTTGGGACACAGACCTTCCCTATACATGGAATAGGGAGATTAGGCCGTGACCCACCACGCGAGCCCAGTGCGCATTGGTGGGCGTTCAATGATCGCAGCCGAACGCCCTAAATACTTGCGCCATCGAGCTCCTTGAGCACTTACTAATAAGGGCGTATATCCTTTGCTAAGTTGTCAGACTTGCGATGCTACCTTTTTTAATGTCTGAAAAATGCTTGTAGCACAGGGGCGTATTTACTGTAGGGCTAAAAGAGGCCATGACCCGGGGCGACAGACTTCGACGAGCGGATGCAAGAGCTGCGAGGGCGGGAGAAGCCATAAAAGGGCATTTGTTAATGCCTAGCTAGCTACCGTCTCTCGCGTCAAGACAAGAGACACACCCCTTTATGCTAAAACCACGGAACCAATTTAGTTGAAATAAGGTGTAGATCGAGTCCCGGGAGAGAACATAGGATACTTTTTATCCCGAAAAAATGTTAGGTTCCTGTGGGATTCTCAAAAAGCTAAATATTGTTACGTGTCGGGATGGGGTTCGAAATTATATGTCAATTCACGCTTGACAGTAATTTATTCACCAGACAGTTTACACAGTTTGTTAATCACAATACATTCACTAACACTAGTTCACTATACAAGTCTTCAAACAATCCCACTTGAATACTTGCACTTTGATCGCCTTTGGTCTTAGATTAAAACAAAAAGGGAAGATACGGCACTAGCGGCTCAAAAGTGATCCGCTTAAATTGTGGTGCACGATCACAATTCGCTGTAGTCACAATTGGACATTCAAACACGCTGCATGTACACTAAATATAACAAAATTGCGTATAATCTGTGTTATAAAGACAAAACAATGACTGCGATGCTTTTATAAAGAACACAAATAGTTCAAAATCGCGCGCATGCATCGCTAGCGATCGGGTGTGTTTGTAAAAATGTCTCGGAATACAGTGAAATGTAATACGTGCAACATTGTAATATGTGAAATGTTATCCTACATCCAATATAAACATGACGTGATGGACAGTGAAAGCTTAACAAAAATTTGTGTTTCGGAGTATTCCGAAGACGAGATGGAAAACGCAAAGTCGTTACTTTTCGATTCCGTCCCGGGTCTACAGCAAAGAAAGGTATCCCGGCGAAGAGACGGAAAGAAGACAAGAACCGTTGAAGATATAATTAGTATTTTCAAGGAAGTAGACCCTGATTGTATGCCGATATTTGTGGCCAGAGATTTACAAAGGTTACCTCCGATTTCGTTCGATCACATAGATGCAGTAACATTACTAAAAGATATCACAAAACTACGTAACGAAATGAATAGCTTTAAAGAGGAATATGCTACAGTGAGAATGTTTCAAGAGCTACGGACCGAGATAGATAACATGAAACCAGCATCCAATATTGATTACTTAAATGTTAACACTAGAAAAAGAGGCGCTAATTTATTGGATAGCGGACCTATTGGTTTGTCGTTTTCGATAAATAATACCGAAGGTATGACGACATCAGCGGTTCAAAACGATAACGGACGCACTGACAAAGTCGAGCAAGCACTGTCCTGCTCGCACTCGGAGAAAAATAATATTGAGCAAAATGAGGTCGTCTCTGTCGCACTTACACAGAAACCAGCTACCCAGACGTCATCGCCTGTGTCGTCGTCGCCGTCAATTCGACACGATTCACCGAGTATGGCCGATGTAGTAAGAAGCGGTGGCGAGTGGAAATCTAATGAACCGAGCGATGAATGGAAAACAATACAACGCAAAAAACTTAAGAATCGTTTTATGGGTAAAACTGGCAAGGCCACAACTGCATCTGACACTAGATTTAAGGCAGCTGAAGTTAAAATCCCTTTGTTTATTTCTAATGTGGACAAAGGAACGACCGAAGAAGATATCTGTGCATACGTAAAATCGAAGACAAACGAAGTTGTTGCTTTAGAAAAGATAAATATGAAAACAGAAAGGTCATATAGTGCTTTTAAAATGTTTGTTAGTAAACATAAACTAGATTTATACTTGAGTGACGAGTTATGGCCCGATGGTACACGTTTCAGGCAATTTATTTACTTCAAGCAGCAAGTGAAGGCTCCGATAAAGGAAAATAATAAGAATTCTAATAAAGGTAATGGCACACAAAAGTAATAACAACTGTAAATTAATTACTTTCAACTGTAAAAATGTCAAAAGAAGTTTTGAGTGTGTGAGATCGTTGTGTAAAGAAGCAGATGTCCTGGCACTGCAAGAGACGTGGCTTTTGCCACATGATCTATCGTTCCTGGGAAGCATTGATCCTGACTTCAGCTTTACGGGGAAATCGTCTGTTGATACCTCAAGTGGTGTACTGCGGGGTCGCCCACATGGAGGCGTGGCAACACTGTGGCGGAGCAGTGCGTTTCTTAATGTAAAAGTGATTAAGTGTAACAGTGAGCGCATAGTGGCGATAGGTGCTGAGACTTATGATCATCAACAGTTGTTAATTGTATGTGTTTATATGCCAACGGACCATAGTGAGAGCTTGCCTTTGTTTACACAGTGCATGGGAGAACTACATGCTATTATAGAGGACAATAATATCGAAACAGTTTTCATATTAGGTGATTTTAATGCTCATCCTGGGGCCCCTTTTTGCAATGAAATGTTAAGTTTCTGTTCAGATAACCTATTACAATGTGCTGATTTTGAAAAACTTGGTATAAAAAGTGATACTTACACATATGTAAGTGAAGTGTATGGCTGCAAGCGGTGGCTCGATCATTGTCTGGTAAGTGTCTGTGCATTCAAAACTGTTGCTAGTGTACATGTAAATTATACTACTTTTTGGTCAGATCACTTTCCATTGCAAATAGAATGCAATCTTAATTTAATAAGGAATAAAATTTATTCAACCAATGATCTAATGAATAATAATGTTATGTGGGGAATAAGAAATAAAGAGGAAATTAATAAATATTATGAATGTTGTAACAATAAATTAAAATTGCTTGATTTTCCTTTAGAGTTACACAGTTGTGCTGATAGTATGTGTAATAATATAGCTCACAGACGAGTTATAGATATATTTTATAATAATATTGTAAGCGTACTTAGTCAGGCATCAACAAAAAGTAGTGTAAGGTGTAAACAGAGAAATAAATGCTTGTCGGGTTGGAATAAGCATGTTGCTGAAGCTCACAGAAAAGCTAAAATTGATTATGAGATGTACATTTTGTATGGGAGACCCCTTAATGGTCCAATTTATGACAGCATGTGTAATAGTCGTAAAGTTTTCAAATCCAGGCTCAGGTACTGTCAGCAGCAGCAGGAACAAATTAAAATGGACGCGCTTGCTACACAACACTCAAATAAACAATTTATGAAGTTCTGGCGTAGTACTAAAAGTCATACAAATAGTAAGGTGAGTTTGCCTGCTGCTGTTGATGATGCCAATGATCCAAGGGCTTTTGCCGATAGTTTCAAGTAGTTTTTTGTGGTAGAGTCACCGCAGCAGCCACCCTTTGCCTGTAACGCCGCCCAAATGCACAGCGATCAACCTTTCAGAATAACGAGCAAGGAAGTGGCTGTTATAATTCAAGATATGAGCAGGGGAAAGTCACCTGGCCACGATGGCTTAAGTATTGAGCATCTGAAATATGCCGGTCCTCACATCCATAGGCTGCTGTCTTTGCTTTATACCTTTTGCGTCCGTCATACATATTTACCGCCTGAGCTTATGAAAACTATAGTAGTACCCCTAGTCAAAAACCCCACAGGAGATGTAAGTGACAAGTCTAATTATGGACCCATTTCTCTAGCTACCACTCTCGCCAAGGTCTTAGATAAGGCTTTGGATGCTCATCTGAGCAAACATATAAAGCTACAGGATTCCCAGTTTGGATTTCGGGATGGCTTGTCCACTGAAAGCGCAATTCTTACTGTTAAGCATACAATAGATTATTACATTAAAAGGAAAACACCTATTTATGCATGTTTTCTAGACTTGTCAAGGGCCTTTGACTTGGTATCATATGACTTACTCTGGGCCAAGCTTTGCGAGTCAGGAGTCTCAAAAGAGGTGATAGACATCTTCCGCTACTGGTACGGTAATCAAAGGAATCTGGTGAAATGGGGTAATGCTTTCTCTGATGAATATGCGTTGGGCTGCGGTGTCAGGCAGGGAGGTCTCACTTCACCGAGATTATTTAATTTGTATATAAACCAGTTGATCGAACGACTCAGCAATACGCATGTTGGATGCAGAATTGATAATATTTGTGTAAACAATGTAAGCTATGCGGACGATATGGTGTTGCTGAGCCCCTCGATCAACGGCATAAGAGAACTCATTAAAATATGTGAAGAATATGCTGAACAACATGGTTTAAGGTATAATGTTAAGAAAAGCCAAATTATGATCTTCACAGGAAAAAATAAAACACCTAGTAATATACCGCCTGTAACTTTAAATAATGTTACCTTAGATCGTGTCTCTCACTTTAAATATCTAGGCCATGTCTTGACTGAAAAATTGAATGATGATCTTGACATTGAAAGGGAAAAGAGGGCATTATCGGTCCGTGGCAATATGATAGCACACAAATTTAATCGATGTACTGCAGACGTTAAACTGACACTATTCAAGGCATATTGCCAAAGTTTTTACACCTGCAGCCTTTGGACCACTTTTACTAAAAAGTCGTACAATGCCTTAAGAGTTCAATATAATAATATCTTTAGGACTCTGTTGCACCTCCCACGATACTGCAGTGCATCAGGCATGTTTATGGACGCACACACAGATGACTTTTATGCTATTATCCGCAAGAAAACCACCTCATTAATGCAAAGAGTTCGGGGGAGTAGTAATGGAGTCTTAGGTTTGATTGCTGAACGGCTGGATTCATCACTTTTTAATAGGTTTACTGACTTGCATCATCAAAAGAATGAAATGTAATAGAGCTGGATCATAATTAATACAAAATAAATTTAATATCTTCAATTTTACCATTGACTATTTTTTTTATGTTGACATTTTGTTTTGTTTTGACATATTTTGTTCTATTTTATTTTATTTTATTTTTATGTAACATCTTATGAAATCTCATCTTATGAAATGCAATTATGTAAACAGTAGCTATTATAGAAGGAATTGATTCTTAATATTAATACTTTTGAATACTTTTACTAATATAGTTGTAAGGGCAAATGTTGCTAACAAAATGGACTGTATTATTGTCTGATAAAATAAATGAATTTGAAAAAATCAAACGAGGCATTTAGCCTCGGCAACACTTCTCATTCGGAAAACTGTAAAATAATTTTTTTTTCAAAAATTACGGTTTGTCGTGAGAATATTATTTACGTAATCGCCATTTTGTTATCAAGAAAAGGACAAAACTACAGCTGAGCCGTTCGCAGTCGGAAGCTGATTCGCCGTTTCGCTCGCTCTGCGTTGACGAGTACAGGAGGCCTACTCTATTTCAACGAAAAACGAAATATCGATTGAAATTTCGGACGTTCCTTCAATCATCATCATCAAAACGAAAATGAAAAGTGTTACCTTTTCATTTTCGTTTAGGGATTTTTGTTTAAATTAAACCTAAAATTACTACTAGAGTATTTTTAGTTAGGGCTGCTTAGCGTGAGGATCATTTTTTAGTATGAAAAATTTACAAATAAATAAAATTTTTGTTTATTATTGTATTGCCAATACTTCAAAGTGTTACACGACAAATTTAGGTTGACATACATTCGATTGCATCAACTCTACAAATTAATCGGCTAACACTGTCAAAAGAAGTTGTTTTAAAGTAATCAAAAATTTGGTCATAAAGTAAAATTGTTTTGAAGAAAAGCACGTTAGTTAAAAAGTATAGACAAAAAGAACTCACAAACATAACTCATTCCATTCGTTCACGATAATTGTCTGTGATTCCGAACTTTATGTGCGTGTTCGAAGATGAAAAAGAGTAGAGTCACTGGCGATATTTCGTTTAAAATTCGTTCGTTGCCGTAATTTCGTTACGGAGAAAGAGAGTAGAGCTCCAGTTCTGCCTCGCTCGATCGATTGAATGTTATTTACAGACGTGTGCGTGTGTGAGAGTTGCATATGTAGTTGAGTCGGATCATATTTTATTTGATGCTAGTATGAGCGTACCGAATCTTCCCATTTTGTTTTAATCTAAGCCTTTGGTATTCGTTCCGAAATCGCTGTTGAAAGCTTAGATTAAAGAAAAAGGGTAGATACAGTACGCTCATACTTGCATCAAACAAAAACTGATCCCACGGCAGCGCGAACGGGACGGCGAGATCCGCGTCACTGCATTACCGACCCGAGCGAAACAGCACGTTAAGTTTCAATGGCAGCGCGAACGAGACGACGAGATCCGCGTCACTGCACTACCGACCAATCACGCGACCAGTACTCGACGTCACTACCGAATAAGATTCAAAACAAACAGCAATTTTTATGAAAAAATATATTTTATAGTACTTACGAATGAAAAGTGATGCTGTGGGTTTTATTTTGAGATCTTGAGCAATTTGAGCACTTTTTAAAAACACACTTACGCATTTTTTATCATATAAACACAAAATATTAGCAATTTTTCTTTTTGGCGTTCACATGTACGTCGTTTGCATGTCAAGTTGTGACTAAAGCGATTAGGGTCGTGGACCACAATTCATGCGGATCACTTTTGTGAGGCTAGTGCCGTATTTACCCTTTTTGTTTTTTTTAATCTAAGGTTGAAAGTCAACTGTCTCTGAGCGGCGTCGATCGCGCTTATATACGCCAACCGTCGCATTCTAGAAAATACTTGTGAAATTAAGAGTTAGCTGGCACCCTCGAGTGCGTAGTGAGTACTTACTTATACCTAGGTAGGTAACGCGCATAAATTGTAAACAAGTGCAGATGTCGTTGCACTTTCTCCCTTACGCCGCACTGCATGAGGCTCATATTAGAAAGAGTCGCACCACTCGACCTTAATCGCGATCCGCGGTGTTCTGGTAAATTCGGCCTCTAGTATTTTCGCAGTTTTGTTTCGAGAGCGTTGGTGACAATAATATGTATAATGCAACCGCAACAAAATTGAAGCATTCACGCCTATACACATCGCGTATATTTGCAGATATATTAGTGTAGTGTGACTAATTAAAGTATTTCCATTTGCAGGGCGATAATGGCAGCCCACTTCTGGACAGCAATAACACCGTGGTAGGAATATTCTCTTGGGCCCAGGGCTGCGCAGACCTCATCCATCCAGGGGTCAACACGAGAGTCTCCGCCTTCACTAGCTGGATAGTCGCTACAGCCCTACAGCCTTAACCGACAGCTAACTTTTAAATCTAAAGAAAAACTGGAAACCATTGTCTTTAGATTTATTAATCTAGCAGTTTAATGCTCAAAATAACAATATAATATAATTAACTGAACTTAATGTATTTTATTACTAGCGGCTGCTCGCGACTTTGTCCGCTTTAACTTAAATTTATTGAGAATTCCGTAGGAAACTATCATTTTCGGGTTAATATCGTTTCCCGACGAAAATCATGAAAGCATGTTAACAGATGAAATCGAGGCAGTAGTCAAAGAAAGAAAAGGAGGGCACGAAAACAGGGGAATCTGCATTTTCCGAAATTAAAAGTATTCAATGTCTCAGTCCAGGTCATAAACAAAATGCGTTTGCGCACAAACCCGTACTGAGGGAGCTCCAAAAGCTTTTCAACACTGTCCTGTTCGAAGGGAGAACTCCGGAGGCGTGGAGTAGGAGTGTGGTTGTCTTGTTCTTTAAAAAGGGGGACAAGACCCAACTTAAGAACTATCGACCCATATCCCTTCTAAGCCACGTCTATAAGCTGTTCTCAAGAGTGATCGCGAACCGTCTTGCGCGAAGACTTGATGACTTCCAACCACCGGAACAGGCTGGGTTTCGGAGCGGATACGGCACCATAGACCACATACACACAGTGCGGCAGATTATACAGAAGACTGAAGAGTACAATCAGCCCCTGTGCCTAGCATTTGTGGACTATGAGAAGGCCTTTGACTCGATTGAAATCTGGTCTGTCCTGGAGTCCCTGCAGCGTTGCCAAGTCGACTGGCGATACATCCAAGTGATTAGATGTCTGTACGAAGCCGCCACCATGTCTGTCCAAGTACAGAATCAGCAAACAAGTCCCATACCGTTGCATCGTGGAGTGAGACAAGGGGACGTTATTTCCCCGAAATTGTTCACTAATGCAATGGAGGATATGTTCAAGACGCTGAACTGGAAAGGACGTGGCATCAACATAAATGGCGAACGCATCTCTCACTTGCGATTTGCAGACGACATCGTCATCATGGCAGAAACCCTGCAGGACCTACAACAGATGCTGAATGACCTGGCTGACTCTTCTATACGCATCGGCCTACGGATGAACTTGGATAAAACCAAGGTCATGTTCAATGAACATGTACTACCGGAACCGATTGCAATATACGGTGCCGTTCTCGAAGTTGTTCAAAAATATGTGTACCTCGGGCAGACATTGCAGTTAGGTAGAAACAACTTTGAGGACGAGGTGAATAGAAGAATTCAGCTAGGTTGGGCAGCGTTTGGGAAGTTACGTCAAGTCCTGACATCGTCGATCCCACAGTGTCTGAAGACGAAAGTCTTCAATCAGTGCGTCCTACCTGTGATGACATACGGAGCCGAGACGTGGACACTGACGGTACGGCTGGTCCACAGGTTCAAAGTCGCTCAACGCGCTATGGAAAGGGCTATGCTCGGCGTTTCTCTGAAGGATCGCATCAGAAATGAGGTAATCCGGCAGAGAACCAGAGTTATCGACATAGCCCACCGGATTAGCAAGTTGAAGCGGCAGTGGGCTGGCCATATTTGTCGAAGAACCGATAACCGTTGGGGTAGACGAGTTCTGGAGTGGAGACCGCGTCTAGGCAAACGTAGTGTAGGACGTCCTCAGGCGCGATGGAGTGACGATTTGCGCAAGGTGGCTGGCAGGAGCTGGATGCGAGTAGCCCAAGATCGATCTAAGTGGCGTGCATTTGGAGAGGCCTATGTCCAGCAGTGGACTAAGATAGGCTGTTGATGATGATGATGATGATGATGATGTTTGCGCACCAAATCCATCCAGAACCGTTCAGTAGTTTTTGCATGATCGAGTAACAGTCACACAAACTTTCACATTTTTATTTGTTTCTTGGGTTTTCACGCATTTTAAGCTACCTTCAGCTCAATAAAAATCTTTCGAAGGTAGCTCGACAAAGTAAATAAAAAATCATTATTTCTGCAAAGGCTGCGAAACTTCAGATAAATAAATTCAGTGCATCTAACCCGTAAATTGTTTTATTTCACATTATTATAATTAGTAGGATAGGCTTGGTCTTGGGGCCTTATTCCAAAACGCGGACTAGTCTTAGTTTAAACCTAATGTTGTCTACGTCTTCTTTTTAGCAAACAAAAGTGACAGCATCAGTTTTAGTCCAGGTTTAACTTTTGTGTAAGTTTTGTAATAAGGCGCAGTGTCCACATTACCTTTATAGCTTTGTCGAAGGTAATAAAATAGATTTATTATTTACTAGCTTTTGATAGCGATATTTTTTTAACCCGAACACTTTTTAAACGAATGTGTACAGCGTTTATTTGACTTTTTTATTTTCTTTGAACGTGTTCCGTGGGCGCAAGAGTCGACTCAAAAAGTGTTTTATGTAGCTAAATAATGTTTGAGGTGCGTGAAAACATAAAAGAATATAATGTTAAATGCACATATTCATTTCATTACAACCATTTTTATTTCAAGTAGGCAACTACAATAAATCAATGCAGGTTATAAAAAGTGTTCAATGCAACGTTGTAATATTTTAGTTTAAATTCAATATTTATGCTTCGTGTGGTTAACCTACTTAAACCTTCAACTAACCTTTTAACTAAACGCAACTTGGAACAGTTGTCGTATCTGCGCAACGCCTCTTATGTTCAACCAGAGTTACAGTTTTGTTTTAACAAGTGTGCGTTCCAACTTGGTGTACATATTCAAAAGTCGAAGACGATCAACAATATTATTAACTCGTCGCAATCATCGTGCTACTCCCTCCAGTAAAAACCTGACCAAACTTCAGATAAAGGTTAAGACCACAACACCAATCCTTTGAAATGTGTTTAGGATATCAGTACGCATGTACAGCTAAAGATATGCGCACGTACACATCAATTGTATTTTTTACGAGTTTCGTTTTATCGCATTGTGTGACAATACATTGGAGTGACGAAGTTGATATCATAAGTGAGTGTAGGGAAATGTTTTCCCGCCCGTTTCGCAAACCGGTGAAACCTGTGTAGAATGTGTTACGGTATAGATTCGTGTGCGAGAAGCTTTTGACTAAACTTTAAACTATTTTATTACCTTTTCTAAATTGGGCAATTTCAGTAATTCGCAATTGACTTTATTTTTAATGTCATACATAAATAGATTTCGGTTATTTTTATTTTATACTTTTGCGTGTTTTCGGTTTACGGACAAGGTACTGACTGTTACATGTTTTTGAGAATTTATTGAGTACTGATTACTTGATCATTTAGATAATCGAGAATAATGATTACTATAATTTAAGCAATTATTGTTTTTCATTTTAATTACCCAACCAGTCGTAAATTATTAGTAAAAATTAGATACATTTCCTTCCGCTTTAGTGTATTTAACAAATTAACTTTCTGATAACATACCTACATACATTAAACGTATTTGTTGATATAGAGTATTAAGTAAATTCCAAAATCATTAAAATGCATCTGTAATGTTATGTTGTTTCGTTAGCAGTTATGTTACCAATAAAAAACTTTATGATAAATTGTAGAGTTACTACTGATAGTTACGCTTACATTGTTGAGTTAATGAAAATTTTTAGCAAACTAGCTCTCAACAATCTCAAAACTGGAGCGTGTCTTTAAATTTCCGAGCAAAAAACACGTCAAACGTCACGTTCTAAATACATAATATTTCGGACGGAAACTGAAATTATTCCGAAACGTAAAAAAAGTCTTTAAAAACGTAGAGCAATTAATTTTAACGGGATTGCTACCATGTAGATACTTTGTTATTTGTGAATCCGATATTTCGGCACTGTTGCAAGTGTTATCATAGAGACAATGATAGTGACCATGAAAGTTTAAAACAATATATAGAACTATTTATAAAATAAATTTATGATCACCCATCTAGTTAGTTGTGGAGTAAGGTTGCGGATATGTAGTTACTGCGTTGGGTCTGTCTGCAATTGTGAAAGATAAGTAAATTTCCGAACGGTCGGTTTAGGATGGGTGACCGAAAAAGTTTCAGTTTCGCAATTTTAAAATGAAGTGTCACTAATACTTTCACCTATGAAGGCGAAATAAAAAGGGAGTAATCATAGTAGTTACTAGTTTGGTAGATACCTATAAAATGGCAATTCGTACAAATACGTAACTAAACATAGTTAGACGGCAAAAACATTTTTATAGCCTAAACTAAATATGCACGACGTTTCTTTATCTGTTCAGTGATAAGTTTTGATAACATTAATGTGGAAGAGCGGATATCAAACAGGATTAGTTGAATTCAACATTTACACACATATTTATATAATGTTCATATCGCAAATATAACCTTGAAATTAGTAAACCATTAAATAAGTAATTGTTCGTTTAACAGGTAAAAAAATAATCGAACTGAACCCTATGCACATCACAGGAGTATTATCTGATTTGATAGTTATATCTGCACCGATCGTACCAAACGCTCGATACTACTTGTACAATCCTAACGGAGACCCGATAAAATTGAACATCAGTCGCCCAACATACCCAGCACCAGAAGGGAACACAATCGACAACCAATACGACTCAATAGTTATAAAGTATGCTGACCAACTCAAAGGCATATACCCGCTGAGCGACTACAAAGTCTTCAATCTATGTTCCAAAGACGCAGACAGCAATGAGACATTTGAGAAATACGCTAATAAAATGTATGCGAACGACTTCATTATTGGTCCCTTGACAGAGGAGGATCATGGCAATTGGGCGATAAGCGCATACAGCCAAGACAAAGATGGAAATTGGACTGAGGTTTATCGAGTTATTACTATAGAAATTATAGGTAAGATAAAGGGGTATCTTTCAAGCAAGACAAGGGGAGGGGGTCTTGCTATTTAACTAATCACACCACGATTTCAAATAAATTTCAGAACCGGTGAAATCCGCAGAGAAGCGAGTTTGTTCTCAACACTGCAGAGCTTTTACTTTGTAAACCTAAATAACGTCATAGAACCCTCCGCCGAGATTTGAATAAGGGTTGCCAGATGCTGGCTTATCAATTCCGGGACATTTGCACCCCCCCAACCCCTGAAAAAATAAAGGGTCAAATCACTCCCCCCCCCCCCCCCCGGATTAAAACATCAAGCAGGTGTCATTCCTTATTAGTTTATTTTGTTACGAACCTAGCACATTATCTAAACTAATTTGAACACAGGACCTTTGGAAGGGAAGGACGCTGATATGGCTGCTTTGTGTTATCTGTAAGCTATAAGGCTAAATTTATACCGCCGCGGAATGGATTGGAAGCAACATGTTATGCAACGAAATTGTGCAAAGCATAATGAACTTTATAATACATACTAAATACGAGGGGATTCTCGAGAATGCGCGAGGATTCCAGGAAGACGGGCGACTTCTTTGGCTAGTATTTAGTTTGCATGATTCACTATGCCGACCACAATTTCGTTGCAAAAACTCGCTTTCATTCCATTCCGCGGCGGTATAATTTGAGGCCAACAATTGAGATTTTTTTCCTAGTACGATGTTCTTTAGATTTAAAGATCTAGCAGTTATCTATGCTTAAAAAATCCAAAAATATAATTGAGCTTATGTCATTCTTCGATTTATAAATAACCGAATCCAATGTTTTATTGTGTTAAAAATATATCGGCTAACATCAAAAATACATTACTGTGATTCCATTAAATTTCAGCAATTTGTGTGTTTTTATGCTAATAAGTATTATTATTTTGTTGTGTTCTTCACAAGAAAAACAAAATCAGATCTCCTCATACCAACAGGTCAATGGCATGCGTGTTATTCAAAATTAATAAAAGAACCGAGTGGAAGGTCGGCCCTGAATGGTGTTGTTTAGTTGAACTGCTTGCAATGATGCCCGCGATATTGTTATATGAACAATTGTTTTATTTTTCAAAAGAAACGCCAATAATGCATGCTCTGTAAAATTATACTAAGAAAATTTCATCACACACGGCCATTCATAAAGATTATAATGGTTTATGAATGGCCGTGTCGAGTTAAGGCGCAACAAAAACGTCGGAAAATTCGAATTGTGGAAATCTTTTTTAGTTGTGAATAACGTTATAACACCGTTATACTAGTATCGTGAAGATTTGTGTACTTTTATGGCGCATATGCAACTCAATTTTTTTAATTGAAAATATTTGAAGGGCGTGTTTGCTTGATAAAAATGTATGACGGGCCGAGTGATTTTCGCTTAATCGACATTTGAATTGTATAGTTAATGCACAAGGTAACTTTTTAATCGGACTACATTTTGAAAATATTATTTTGTGAATATGTTTTTAATTTTATGGCGCTACTTCTCATTTAAAATGACGTATGGTTATTTTTTTGAAAAAAAAATTTTTTGATCCTCTTTTCTGTAGTTACAAAATTGGGCTTTATGCGATTTCACTTTTCCACTGTCGATATATAGATTCTATACATTGGTATTTATTAGCAAATTTAAAGAAAAATTTTCTAGAATTTTTCTGTACTTCTTATCTATCTATACTTATAATAAATCTGTAGAGAGGTCAATTCTGTACATGAAATATATTTTCAAAATAACTATCAGGTGGTGATTAGTGATCGATACTGATGCCAAAAATGCAATCAGTAAAATTTTTGTCTGTCTGTCTGTCTGTGTGTATGTTCCTTATAGAAACAAAAACTACTCGACGGATTTTAACGAAACTTGGTACAATTATTCTTCATACTCCTGGGCAGGTTATAGTATACTTTTCATCACGCTACAATCAATAGGAGCAGAGTAGTGAAGGGAAATGCTGGGAGAACGGGAGAAGTTACTCCATTTTTTAAGCTTCCGTCGCGTGTGCAGTCTTAATGGTTAAAGTTACATAGAAATCATGTATGACGGAAATATTTTACATAAAATTGTCTAAAAAATATCCCGCAACAGCATATGTCTATCTTTTATGGTTGACTCACAATAACACGTGTAACTCCTGATAGCTTAGCATTTCGGAGCATTCTGATTATATTTGTTTACTCTTACGTTTATAATACTCTCACCCATCCCTAATTTAAAAAAGTTAACATTATTACCTATTCAATAAAAAAAGAATCATAGAAATCGGTATATAAACACCAAACTTATACATGAAATAAGCCATCGCGCCGTCGCACGTGAATACTGAATCATGCTATAAGGATTATTTTTGTGTAACGGTTGGAAACACTGATAATTTTAGAGGTTTTTAATGTAAGGTCGTAAATAAACACAGTTTTTTCCGCTTACATTGCAAACGCTGGCTGAACCCTACGAGATCGATCAAATTAATGTACTACAGTATTGTATACCTTAAAAATGTCTACAAAAAAGTCCGCCATGGTATCTGTCTATCTCTTAGGGATAACCCACAATAACCATTTATATCCTATACTTTTTACGAGAAATAATAGATTATTTACGAAGCGATTTTCAGCAATATAACATTCTTCCTTATCCAATTAAGTACCTTAAATACATTGTGCATTTAATATAGACCAATTTGGCTATTTAACGCATGTAATTTAAATGAATATTTTCGAAGATATTACAGATTTAAAAAGCAGGGACATAGCGGTTCCGACGCTACCGGGCGGGGCGCCTGTGGCGCGTGCCTATTGTAATTAGGTATTAGAAGAATGTCATTGTGTATAATACAAGCCTCAGAACAAAAACTATAGTCTACACTACAGCTCTACACCGAAGCGAAGCGCGAGCGGGCCACTAGTAACGAATATTTAAGTATGCAAAAGAGTGTTATTTTGAAATTTTATGAATGAATGTTGCTAATAAGCTCAATCAGAACCTTTTATAGAGGATTTAAAGCATAGGTGTAGATAAAACTTGTTAATTAACCCCCTAATATCGCACAACCTGTCTACGGTACGCCTTCACCGAACTCCCATTCATAATGTAATAACAATATCCACTTTCAGAGTACATACCACCAAAGCCGAGAATAGCCAAACTGCGTGAAGGGGACACATTTGAGTTCAGTTTTGCGCATCCTATCGCACAAATGACTAGTTGCGAACTGACCGCACCAAGATCAACGTTCGACAGATTTTATGAGAGGGACCACATCAACATGGGATCGTGTGGCTACATTATAAAGAATGTAACAAAGCAAGACCAAGGCACGTGGAGGATAATGGGTGTGGGCAGAGTTAACTACGGCACCCAAGTTTATTTGGAGGTGCTCAACGGTGTTGCGACGTAACCTGCATTTGAAAAGTTGTTTTTACATATTATTCATCATGTCTTTCTTAATCATAACTCATCTCTTCGCACTAGGTGAGAGCACATTTAATATTAGTTTCATATTTTCCAATTTAAAAATGATAAAAATATCGTCAATCTCCAAGTCGTGAGCAAGCATATCTCCAACAAAGCGTGAAGCAAGAGTGCTATTTTAGAAATCCATGCAGTGGTGTGGTGGGGTCCACTTCTTTTTGGCCTGTTATCACAAAAGTTGCTCTATGTGTGTAAATTTAAATGAATACTAAACGTATTAATTTAAATTTTCCAATAAGCCTTTTATAATTCCGCGTCTCTTCCGCGTCCCTTTCATACAAAACGTATACGTCGCGTCGCAAAACATAGAAAAGACGGCGCAGATACGGTTCATTTGTTTCTTCACATTTTGTATGAAACTGGTAATGTACGCGCCCCGTCTGCGTTTTACGTCTTTTTGAAGTGAAACTTCTTTACGCACACTTGACTTGGAGGGTAAGCTGGCGAATGCGTTACGAAGAGTGTGTTCGGGTGACAGATTAAAATCGGTCTGATATGAATGGAATTACCAAACCTCCTGTAGGAATTCCCCTACCTCTAGATGTAATGAACAAAAGAAAAAAGGATTGTTTAAACATAAATAATGAACGCAGCTAATATCATATCGCAGATTGTGCACACTTTTTTGTCTGTGATGGGCCTTTTTAAGTATAAAGAAGAATTAAGGATCTTAACACCTAAAAAGAAGTTATAAGTTGATGGTATGAATTTAATTTAAAAGAAGACTGAATACTTGTACACCTAAGTGAATCATCAAAGAATTTAGAATATATAGTCTAGGATTTAATATTATAAGGATTTACCAATACTTAGATTTATTATGTAATTTTGACCATATCATTCACTTACATTAATACTGTTAACTCATTAACACGTTCCTTGGCATTTTGTTATATTTATGTATAGTTGTGTGTGTGTGTAATTAGATTTAGAGTAATTTTAGTTTTAAACCATTATTCAAATAATATTATTAAGGATTTTGTGTAATATTATAGACGAATAAATAAAATTCTATATTATCATAATTACAATTTTATTTACAAAACTTAATTTAACTTACTTCTAAAACTCTTTTAGTTTCTAGAATTGTCCATAATATTGCATTGGAAGCAACACACACTGAATTCACGATGTTTCGTCCATCTGTAAAAGAACCAAATAAATATAATATTAATAAAAAATACCTAAATCAAACAAAAGTTAAATATAGGCACTTTTTCTAAATTACCGATTTTCTTTTTACTTTAGAATATTTTTATATAAGAGTTGTAGCGTTCTTATGCCACTTAAGTTAAGTGAAGTCCAGATTTTACATGCAAATTACTATTTACACATTAACAAAGCAATAAAATATCCTTATCTTTATACCATAAACCTTTAAACTAAACAATGTCAAATACCGTTTAGCTGTATTATAATAATGCATTTATTACTTGGAACTTATGTTAAACTAAGGTTCCCATATTTTTTATAATACGGTAATTGACTCAAATTCTTAAATAAATCTTAATATATATAAATTATGCGTCAGTCACGTTGTTTGTCCGAAATGGATTCCTAAACTACTTAACCAATTTTAATCAAATTTGCACACCGTGTGCAGTTTGATCCAACTTGAGGATAGCTTACATCTCAATTTATGGTCGCAATATTATTTTATTGCAAATTATTACTTTTGGGCGGCACGAAGTTCGCCGAGTGAGCTAATTATTTATAAAGATTACACAGCCTAAAATCTTAAATAATAAGATGTTTGCATATAAAAAAAAATCGATATTACATAAGTTTCGAAGCTTCCAAATGGAGAAAACGTCAAAAAGGAAGAGAGAAAGAGAAGCGACACAAGATTGAGGGAAATAGCTATCTATTCCAGCTGCCAGCTGGGATAAAAATACTAAATGCTGCTTTATTATAAGACCGATTTATATTGCCTTCAAAGGGATTCCTGCACTCAGAGACGTATTCGAAGACAGTTCAAATCCAGCGAATTTATACCTTTATTTCTCAAGACTTCACTTGCAGCCGCTACCACTACCGCTATGGCTATAACTGTGACTATTGTGGAATGTGGAGTGTTTCCACCACAATCTGTCACAATTCCCTATTTATTTCACTACTAGCGGCCGCCCGCGACTTCGTACGCGTGGAGTTAGTTAGAAATAAAGTTTCACTGCTCGTTCCTCGTAGGTGATAACGTGAAAATATGTAGCCTATAATATGTTGACCCGACTTCTTAATATTATTCGTGCCAAAGGACATGGCTAAGAAACTGCCCTTAGCGTGTATAAATATTTCACACTAGCCTCGTAACTTTACAATATTTTTATTAATTATTACGTGTTTATTATTCTAATACAACTTTCATGAAATAATCAAATATTTAAAAGTATAAAAATTTACTTCCATGACTGTTTCAAAAGCAAAATGTTCCGTTTTACAAAATAAATGAACAATAAATGTATACAAAAAATATCTTTGTAAGTATATCGAAATAAACAAAATTATTTTTAAACTCCTTCAAAATATGACATATCTATATCATCAGCCTATTAATGTCCCCACTGCTGGGGCACAGGCCTTCTCTATGGATGGAATAGGGAGATAGGGCCATGACCCACCATTGTGTTGAATTATTTTTAGCATTAGTTTTGTTCAACAAATGTTTTGTTTGCAGTAAATTAATTATTTTTAATTGATGTAAATAACTAGATGGGTCATAAGCTATTTGCTGTGCATTTAAAAATAACCCTTTTACTAACTGATTAAATTACCTAAACTTTAAGATAATAATCAAGCAAATTTATACCTTAATTCGTTAAGATTTCACTCGCTGCCGCTACCACTACCTCTACGGCTAGGACTGTGACTATTTTGTGGAGTGTATCCGCTGCCTTCAGCAACAATTTCTCCGCAATGGGTGTCTTTAATAACTGTTTAAATTACCTAAACTTTAAGATAATCAAGCGAATTTATACCTTAATTCGTTAAGATTTCACTCTGCCACTACCACTGCCGTTAAGGCTAGGACTGTGACTCTGTTGTGGAGTGTTTCCGCTGCCTTCAGTCACAATTTCTCCGCAATGGAGTATTTTACTAACCGATTAAATTACATAAACTTTTAAGATAATCAAGCAAATTTATACCTTAATTCGTTAAGATTTCACTCGCTGCCGCTACCGCTGCCGCTGCCGCTATGGCTAGGACTGTTACTCTGTTGTGGAGTGTCGCCACCGCCTTCGGCCGCGCTTCCTTCGGAGTCCGAGTCTTTGAGTGCTTTAGCGCGGTCCAAACGACGAGCCCGACGAGTCTCCACGTCGGATCCGTCGGACTCGGAGGAGTATATCGCCGCACCGGCAGATGCTGTAGACAATAAATAAATATTTCCAACACTCACACCAATTAGCCTAGCCCCAAAGTAAGTATAAGTACATATATTTGTATTGAAATATATATTAAACATCCATGACTGGAGTATACTCGTATTCATCACACAAACATCTGCCCCCACCGGGATTCGAACCCGGGATCTCTCGAGTCGGCGACACCATGAAACCCGGCGTACAAACCACTCGACCACGGAGGTCGTCGAAATAATAAATAAAATTATTTTTTCCAACGCACACCAATTAGCCCAGCCCCAAAGTAAGCAATAAAAGGCTTGTGTTATGGAATACTAGAATAACGGATAGAATACATAATATACTGATACAAATGAGTATATATTTTTATCTAGAAATACATATAAACCGCCGTTACTTAGGTACTAATGCTTGTACTCATCGTTTGCGCTACCGGAAATCGAACCGGGACTTCCTAAAAAGGCGTGAGTGGCTTATGTATGACCTTATCGCCATTAAAATAGAGGTTCATTCAATTATTTATTTATTAAAATTGGAAACAAAATAATAAAAAATATTTAGAACCGCAAGTTGGAATAGCAAATTAGCAATCCTTTCACTCGTCGAAACGAACGTTGACTAGATTTTGTTTAGTTTAGTTTCGTTTCGTTACATTCGTTCGACCGTCGCGTCACGTGTGGTTTCGTTGCGTCACCCAGCCGCAACCATAACCAATTGCGAACGAGAACCGTTTCGGGGGCTAGTTTCCGTTTAAGAGAAAACGGTTGCGTTTCGTCATCATAAAATATGAGAACGACCCACCGCTAGTATAGACTGACCTTTCTGCCCCTGCTTGTATTTGTTCTTGATGGCCTGCAGTGAGACACCACCTTCGTCCTCCGAATCATCCCCGGCCCGGGCACCGGCCCCCCTCCCCCCACCACCGCCGCCACCCCCCGCTCTCCTCTTCGGCCGAGTGGAGGCTCGAGAACGCATCGCAGCTCGCAGTTCCATCTCCTCTTTCTGAGAGCAGAGATAATTTTCATTTGTAGATAGTTTTTCCGGCATTAATAGTAGAAAATCTGAACCTACATCGACCTTCACCGAGCTGATAATAGAAGGAAACATGTTTTATCATGACTTAGTGTATTACAAAATATATTAAAATTGGGTTGCCAAAACAAAACTTGGACAGACTATTTTTAATTGATGTATTTCCTGATATACTAAATTCATGATAAAATATGTTTCATTCTATTATCAGCTCGGTGAAGGTCGATGTAGGTTCGGATCTTAGACCATAAGACATCATCCATCTTTGTTAATTGTTTAAAGTCAAACAGAGATAGAATAAGGCTTAAACATTATCAGCTTACGAATTAAGAACTTTGTGTATACAGGTCTAAGCATGTGATGACATTATCACATTTATGTTATTCGTATTATTTTACTATTCGTAAACTATATCGACAAACAAGAGGATAATATTCAGAAATTTTTACTTGAAGTTGCAATGATTTAATAATCCGGAGTTTCGACGTTTTTGCTATGCGATTGTTCAATAAACATTTTGTAGAAATGGGTCCCAAATTAAAGCACCTGACTCTACATATTTATTTATGCCAACCTTGCAAGGGATAACAAGTGTGAATGTAGCATATATTTTATAAGTCAGTGGAAGAAGAAATTCTTATAATACAGGCAGTATTATAAGAATTTCTACTATTTTCGCATCTTCAAGTGAAGGATTTCTTACGATTCCTGACTATTTCCTCACCTTCAGCTGATACCTCCCATTTCTGTCTGCTAGCTACAGGGTAATTATCGTACGGAACCCTGCCTAACATTGGAGATCTGTGCTTTATTTGACTTTACCTTTATCACAAGATTCTGGACTATATTCTCACCTTTAGCTGATACTTCCTATTAGCGACCGAGTCATCGCCTACTTGCGACAAGATCTTGATGGCAGAAGTCTTATATAAGGCGATAAGATCATCTTTCTTTCAGTGAAGAATTTCTTAAAATTCTCGACTATTTTCTCACCTTCTGCTGATACTTCCTATCGGCGCCCGGAGGTCTTGGTAAAACGATCTGCTAGCGACAATATCATATTTCTACGAGTAAAGGATTTCCTTAGATTCTCTACTATTTTCTTACCTTTAGCTGATACTTCCTATTAGCGACCGAGTCATCGCCTACTTGCGACAAGATCTTGATGGCAGAAGTCTTATATAAGGCGGTAAGAACATCTTTCATTCAGTGAAGAATTTCTTAAAATTCTCGACTATTTTCTCACCTTCTGATGATACTTCCTATCGGCGCCCGGAGGTCTTGGTAGAACGATCTGCTAGCGACAATATGATATTTCTACGAGTCAAGGATTTCCTTAGATTCTCTACTATTTTTTACCTTCAACTGATACTTCCTATCGGCGCCCGGAGGTCTTGGTAAAACGATCTGCTAGCGACAATATCATATTTCTACGAGTAAAGGATTTCCTTAGATTCTCTACTATTTTCTTACCTTCAGCTGATACTTCCTATCAGCATCCGGGTCGGCGCCTACTTGCGACAGGATCTTGATGGCTGAAGTCTTGGTAGAACGGTCTGCTAAAGACAGGGTCATCTTCCTGTGAGTGAAGGATTCTGTGGAATGTGGCCTGAATGAGAGCTTCGTACGGAACACCGCCTGGCCTTGGAGACCTGTGCCTTGACGGACGAAAAGGTGATTGTGGTCGCCCTGAGGAAAAAAGGACTTGATTTAGATTAAGAGTATGTTCATTTTTTTACAACTCTTTACTGCACTGATGATGTGGTTGGAATGGTAAGAGTAAGGAAGTGTGTTCACTATTTTTATATATAATTTTTATGCAAATCGTGGCAAGTTTTCTCACCCTAATACAACAGATTTATATGAGTTTAAGGCTCGTATTACAGAATGACAATTAAGTGTTGATCTGTACCTGAGTACAGTTACAAAGGGATAAAAAACAGCCCTTGCAGAGTTTCTTGACGATTCTACTCAGTACAAGGTCTTTCAAAGAAAATTTACTATAAAAAATCTATGCGGTCCAGGAGCAGACGGGACTCGAACCCGCACCCTCCGCTATCCGGGCGGATGCACTGACCAATAAAACTAATGGCCTTAATGGCCATGTCCAATTTCTTCTAGTATTTCGCGCCATCTCTTCGCAATGCAGGCCCGCAATGTCAAATGAAATACCTTAAAATAAAAAATATCAAACATTTGAAAGGATATAAATAAATTACAAATAGCTATTGTAGTTTATTATATTTTTATTTTTAAGCATATAAATAACTGTTTGGTGTTAAATGTAAGGAAACTTTTTTAATTTTTTCTAGTAATTATTTATGTCTGTCAAAAACAACCTGCAGTCTTTCTGTCGTAATAACTAAGTAAGTTATTATTGGTAGTCTTTAATTTTCTATAATAAAATTAGATGATACTTATACCTGTATTTTATAAATATTAAAAAAATAAGATTCTTTGTAAGTAGTAAAAATTCACGTGATATAGGGGCAGACGGGGGGGATAGTCTTAAACCTCACCACGTATCACCAAGGGGAAAGGGGGGAGGGGGGGGGGGGGGTTAAAATGCCAAAAAAAAATCACGTGATTAACGGACGGCCCCAAATACATACGTGCAGAGGTTGCTTGTAAACGTCGAATATTTCGGACCCTAGATGCAACGACATGCTGCCGTCGGACCATTTCACCATTCGCGCGTTCGATTCTTTGACCGCGTTACCTTCTTTATCGAACACTGTACGCCAACGGATTGTGTTCTCCACTTTCAGTTTTAATCTGTAAGATTTTTATATATAATTAAAAATCAAATGCCACGTATGAAAGAGATCTGTGAGGAAGATGTTTTTTTCCAAACTAAAAATCGTAGATGTATGAAAGATTAATACTTGTAACGTGTTAAAAACGTCAGATGGGTTTTGTTTGTTTGAAGAGAGAGATAGAAGGCCTCTGTTTTAGGTGGACTCCCTCTTCCTCCTTTATCATAGATCGTTTTGTTTCGTCCATGCGTTTTTTTTTTATTTTCTGTGGCTTAACAAGGCTTCTAGACTGATTCCTTTGCTTGCCTTTTGGAACAAACAAAAAGGAAGAAAATTTTAACGTCACTCCACGACGTAATTTTCGAGTGGCACAAAGTTATACTCATAACCTTATTCAATATTAAGATAATCCTTATGATTAACAATAATTTATAATGGTGTTTTTCTAAATTGAAAAAGTGTATTCCTTTAAATATTTCGGTAATTTACATGTTGATTTTGTTTTAGCCTGTTTGTTTAATTTCTTTATAAAACGGTGAGAACCTTTGAAAATTCTTTTGTTTTATACATTTTCTTTTGTTTTGTGTCATGTGCTAATCTGCGGACTGTTTATTTTCAGCCGTAGGCGTTTTTTTTTTATACTTAACATTATTTTATATTAGACCATGAAATAACCATTTGTCATTACATGGGAGCGAGGCTTCCATTCATACATTCAACTCAACACATAACAAAGATGCAGCGGGGACAGTAAGTGCATGTAAATATGTACTAATAAGGACATACATACTAATTCTGGTAAGAGAAAATTCTTCCATTGTGTATAATTCAGGTAAAGATTATATGTATAAAAGGAAAATTGGACCTAGCTTCTAAATTCAAAAAAATCCGTTTTATAAGCTATGGTAACCCAACTCACCTAGCTCGACCTTCCTCGTCCAGCGTTTCCTCCTCATCAATCTCATCCTCATAAGTGTTAGGATCGTATGGTCTAGTTTCCACGGACAAGAAATTGGGTAACTTCACAAAGTGCAGCTCCTTGCCTAGCTCCGTCCATATCTTAGGCATGTCCACATCTATACGGGTCTCTGGAATCTCTACTTCCTCCTCTTCTTCTGGTTTCTCCCTGTTTGCCTATAGAATTATTCTCTTTTTTAGTTCTAGGTTTTAGTTTGTTGAATTGTATCTGTACAAGGAATCAATTCTAGTTTTATGGATTGATGGCATAGATTTTTGATTCTGACAAATTATTTGAGCCTGTCCTCTAATGCTAACATTTCACATGGTTATTTGTAATCTAGACAGCAGTATATCCTTATCATGTTCAATAGAACATTCCCTATAGGGAACAATAAAAAGAGACTATTGTCAAATTCACAAATAGCAAATATGAATAGCCATGTAAAGTGCTAGAAAAAACTGAATATACAAGAGGCTATTAATTTGATAGTATGAAAAATAATGTACCAACTATTCTGAAAGAACAAATAGTTAATAATAAAACTAGTTTTTACGGGTTAATGCACGAAATTTTATTTATTTATTGACGTTTCGTAGCCTTTACAGGCTACGTCGTCAGAATAAAACTTTTATTCAATTAGTCGAGCTACCTTCGAAAGACTTTTATTGAGCGTTTGGTTATTTCATTGTTCGATTTTTAAGTTTTATTGTCTACTAGTGGCCCGCCCTCGCTTCGCTTCGGTGTAGAGCTGAAGACTATAGTTATTGTTCTCAGGCCTGTATTATACACAATGGCATTCTTCTTATACCTACCGCCGCACAGTGGGTGAAAAAAAGAGGTCCCCCTTTCATAGGATTTTTGAAAAAATAAAAATGTATATTATCCGTTTAAGGTATGCGGTTTTATTGGACATATCAGTACATTGAATAATAAAATAGTTTGGGGAATTTCCTTTTAATCTAACACCATAAAGCACGGGCTTTAGAGTTTCAAATGTATGAAAACGGAATTTGTTTTGCTCATAACTTGTCTCGGTCTTCTACGGTCAAGCTGAAACTAATAGGGATTATTACCGGGTCTGTTACGAAGCCATGTGACCTTTGACCTTCACCCCGGACGGCCCCGTTCAAAAGATACGAATTTTTCAAAATGCTTATTAGGGTAATTTTGCTTTACGGGGTTATGTGTCTCAATAAACAGTTTGTTTATGTTTCTTGCCCAGCATTTAGTTATTAATACAGCGCAGATTATTATCTAATAAAACTATACATATATATATATAGATAACGACACCATACAACTTAACTTTAAATAAAAGGGTCCTTATTCAAAAGATATGGAATTAATATAAATAGATAAAAGAAATAGTTTTAAGAAAAAGAAAACAAGAATACAATATTGTAAAGAATTACAATGAAGTCCTTTACAGCCTACAATTTAATCTTTTGTTTGACAATCGCTTAAAAGTCGCGCGCCATTAACGAGAGCATCATTACATATAAACAATACATACTCTATTGTTGCAGGTTTTGAGGAATTCAAAGGGTTACCCACAGTCATTACCTGCCGTTGTTTGCCTATAATAATTACTGATTATTTGCTTTTATTGTGGGTAGGTGAATAAATAAAACGTTGTTATTATTATTATTCAACAATGACTTCGATTATAATAAATACGGAGTACACCTGTATTTCATTTCACTTATCATTATTGATTCGTACCGTAACGTTCTCTTTGCTCAAATTTTAAGTTGCTCAGAATGGAAGGGCTTGTGTCTAATCTCGACGTATATATATATATGAGGCAAAAATCTTTTAGTGCCGACATGTTATTTCAAAAAGTACTCGATTCAGTGAGATTTTCATTATCTGAAGAACAAAAGACAACTCTTAAAACGTTTTGTGCTACATATACGAGTAATCTTAAACGCAAATGGAAGTCAGCTAATTACACACAAGGGAATTTTATAAAGAAGTTTGCTGACTGGTTGGACCAAGAAATAAAATGGCCAGAGTTTGTTTCACTAGACATAACTGAAGAACAATCAAATATTATGACGAGTTTTGAAGATCCTTCAACAAGTATTTCAACAGTAACAAGACCTAGTTTATCAACGGAATGCACTGTTCCTCATAGTGTGGCTGTGTCGACATCAACCGCTACATTTAGTCCTCGAAAAGAATTTGCCAATTTGAGTCCACTGCAAAAAAGAAGAAGAACTGAAAATCTCATTGCCGAAAACGATTTTGAGACACTTGCTTATGCCCTGGCTAGGAAAGCGGAAAATGAAAACCAAACGGACTTTATAGAATTAGTGAAGCATTTGATTAAAAAGCCTGAAGATGCGCCAATGCTTTTTCAAAATGCTTATTAGGGTAATTTTGCTTTACGGGGTTATGTGTCTCAATAAACAGTTTGTTTATGTTTCTTGCCCAGCATTTAGTTATTAATACAGCGCAGATTATTATCTAATAAAACTATACATATATATATATAGATAACGACACCATACAACTTAACTTTAAATAAAAGCGTCCTTATTCAAAAGATATGGAATTAATATAAATAGATAAAAGAAATAGTTTTAAGAAAAAGAAAACAAGAATACAATATTGTAAAGAATTACAATGAAGTCGTTTACAGCCTACAATTTAATCTTTTGTTTGACAATCGCTTAAAAGCCGCGCGCCATTAACGAGAGCATCATTACATATAAACAATACAAACTCTATTGTTGCAGGTTTTGAGGAATTCAAAGGGTTACCCACAGTCATTACCTGCCGTTGTTTGCCTATAATAATTAATTTTGTCAAACAAACATACTTACACTTACAATGTCTATCTAAGAAAGGGTTTGATCAAATATGTTTATTTTGGGATACCTAGAACTTTAACTGACTAAGCTTAAAATGAACAAAGTGTTTTTCCAGATAAACTAGCTGGTTATTAATATTAGTAAATGTAGTAAGGGAGATTCCGATATGTTACTGCAAAACGAGAAAATAAACTATTTACATTATGAATAAAACAAAATTATTAACATCAATATTTTTATTTACAAAACTTAAATTACTAACTAAGCTTGATATCATAAATTAAATAATGCATAATAAGAAAGCCACAACTGTATAAATTACTACACACATACAAGCTAAAGTATAAAAGATTAGTAGAACTCAAATTGGCTACAACAGTTCTTAAATATGTAAACTGTTTATATTAATATGATACAAAGATACAAAAAAATAAAAATACAAAGTTTGATATAATTTGATTTGAGGGAAAGAACACATACTAATCAAAGTCATAATCAGATACATTACCTACATCTACAAACTCTATATTTTCCTTATCTTCACAAGAAGTTAATAATAATGATTTAGCTTCATTTGTGAGAGGTTTATTTCGTTGACATATTTTAGGCCTGAAACTTGATAGGTATGGGTCAGACGATATTAACAAATTATTGATAATATCTTCATTTGTTGCAATCCTGCTAGATTTACGCGAGTGGAAGGTTCTGTAGTTTTTAAAATCTTTGTTACGAGCTTCAGAGGCCTCTTCAGAGAGCTTGCCGATTGGTATAAAGTTATTGTGCTCTATTATATCGGCACCATGAATGAGTAATTTATGCACGCTTGAGGGCATATAATACCATTCATAGAGCTCGACATATTTGCGTGCTGTAGCAGCACAATATTGGCGGAATTTTTCCACGTCCACAAACTCTCCACATGAGATAGCCTGAAGAATCACTCCAAATCTTCTAACGACTTCTTCATCAACACCCGTTATTTGAGCAGTAATTTGAGGATTAACAAAAAATCTTCTTGCTGTGTTTCCATCGTTGCTTGTACCAGCCCCTTGTTTAACAACGTCCACAAGTAGCCCCGTTTCAGTCCGGAATTGTTCTTGAATAGCCTTTTTTCTTTGGCTTAACTGTTGCTTCAAATCTTCGCCCTTAGCTTGCCATTTCTTGAAGTCGAGACGGTAAGCAATATGTAAGATACATTCCATGCATCTAATTCGTGCATGGAGGGAAGACAGACCGAACTTAAACATGTCTACAGACTGGGTTCTCTGAGTAACCTTTTCGATATCATTCATTTCTTTTGGTTTTGCTTTGCATATATCGCATGTAGCTGTGGATGTATCTGATAAATGTGAAGTTATTTTACCATCAATCATCGTCATATGCAGAACGTGTTTTTCATTTGCACCATCGATAACAGTTGGATGTAGAGCAGCAATTTCCGTATCAATTGAAGTCATTTCTTCTTTAACATTCAAATCGTTCTCTTTAGCAAACTTAAAATAAATGGGTCGACAGTAAAACGTTGAAGACGCTTTGGGGTTTTCCCATATTATTTCATCAGTACCATCTCTCACCAGTTTTAACGGCACAAATGAACACATGAAGATGCTTGAATCATCGCCGTCAATTTTTTGTTGGTAGTTGCTTTGCCCAGATGCACCGTCAAACCCCCATTTACTGATAAGAGTCGAATTACTGCCAGTTAAATCAGTTTCCAGAGTTTTTAATAGTCTCTTGACCGTAATATCTAAAATAGACTGAAGTTTAAGTTTAACTTCAGTCTCAGTTATTACCATGTCTTCTTTTTCAACGTAGCACTCCTTCTTCTCTTGCTTCAAAGCATCATACGATGGAAGTATATCACACCCCATGTCTCTCATTGTCTGCCTCAATGTAATATACTGCCATTTCGATAATTTCAGTGATGTTGAAATACCGAGTGCCTTATCGGTATGACAAGTTCGTTTCGTCGATTTCAGGCAGGCTCGCAGCATTGGCGCATCTTCAGGCTTTTTAATCAAATGCTTCACTAATTCTATAAAGTCCGTTTGGTTTTCATTTTCCGCTTTCCTAGCCAGGGCATAAGCAAGTGTCTCAAAATCGTTTTCGGCAATGAGATTTTCAGTTCTTCTTCTTTTTTGCAGTGGACTCAAATTGGCAAATTCTTTTCGAGGACTAAATGTAGCGGTTGATGTCGACACAGCCACACTATGAGGAACAGTGCATTCCGTTGATAAACTAGGTCTTGTTACTGTTGAAATACTTGTTGAAGGATCTTCAAAACTCGTCATAATATTTGATTGTTCTTCAGTTATGTCTAGTGAAACAAACTCTGGCCATTTTATTTCTTGGTCCAA